TATTCGAGTGTCGATGTTACAAAATATTCGACTTTTGAATAATCGAATAAATGGGTTTTTTCGAATAACTATTCGAAAGATTGAATAAATTGCACTTTTTCGAAAATTTGAATATCGAAAATTCGAATTATCCGAGATGTTCGAATGTTTTATTGGAAATGTAGATCCTTACTGTAAAATTAGGGTTTACGAAGGAGAGACTGGATCAACGCATGCTTGAAAAGGAAAGTTTGAATAATTTAATTTACTGTGCGTTGGTGATTCCGCTCCAGTGAGGTATACCTAATGTAATGCCACAACAACGTCCTGTTGAGAAAATGGGTACGATTTTTGTATGCAGCACTTACGATTAACTTACTTAGGTTAGAGTACAAGCTCCTCACACACAAAAAAAAAAAATTGAGCTATTGGTTGGACCTTCTTCACTCTCCAAACTTAACTACTTCTAATTTGATAGAAGCGAGATGACCGGCTAAGCCATGTACACTATCTTTCAAAAGAGCCTTATTCTTTTAAGTGTTATACCATAATTTGCAACCTCCTTGCTTTCTAGAATTTTTTTAAAGTCTGGAAAACAATACCAACTTATCCGGTAAACCAATGCAATCTGTTGTGTGCAGCTAATAAAAGGGATAGCTAGTGGAAAAGATCTAACCGACTAATCAGATCTTTCGGAGTTTCCTTTACCAAAGAGTTGAAGACTTCCCTCAAAAGATTGGGCGGCCACTTCGACCTGTCTGCGATCACAGCTGCTTCCACATTCTAAAATTAGAGACATTTTTACAGCGTGTTTTCAAATGTTCAACACGAAGTTGGTTTTAAGAATTCAAAACAAACTTCTAGAAAAACAGTAATATGATGCTGTAAAAATAGCATTACTGCATAACGTATATCATACAAGCATATGATAGAAATAACCAACATGCTCTGTGAAGACACCTCGCATCTTTTTTTGGAAAAGATCAGTTGGTCTGTCTATGTCTAAAGCGGCGGTGGTAGCAGGTACACCACTCTTGCGTTCTAATGAGTGTTTGATTTGTGCCTTAATAGTAGCTAATTAATGAGAATTGTTAAGAAAAGACCAATTCTAATCATTACTTGTCTCAACTGCCACTTCCTATAGATGTGGAACATAGGGGTTGCACCACCAACCCATTGAATCAATCCTGATCGAGTTCCCAAAGGTGTAACCGCATAATGGCGAGCAGTATATGGCGGCCAACTTCTAAATATCGATGCATCACTCTCAATAATTAAGCTGAAAAGAAATCTGTTACCTGTTGGACGCACTATCGGAGAGCATAAGATTGCAAATATGGAGCAACTGCATTATGCGTTCATCGAGATGGAGATCCTCCTGTCCTTTGAATAGGAACATGTGTCTGAAATATTAGCAGGTTAAAGTTTGCTTTTGAGAATGATCGTCGAGCAACTGACTCTTTTCCTTCACTACCAATAAAGGCAATCTTCTTCGGTCTTGTTTTGGTAGGGAGCACTAAAGCATTCTTCACGACGCGATCGATGGTGACAACCTCGCTAAACTCGATGTTTTCCTGGCCAGGAATAG